TAAAATCTTTTCTGACCTCTACAGTTTCTCCTTCTTAGTTGAACTGTTCTTTGTGCTTCTGTTAAACCCACTAAGCTTTATTATATTTGTTTGCTTGTCTCCTTATCTAGAGTGAGCTTTTTCATCTTTTTTTTCCTACATCCTATGCAAAGTTCTAATTGCAATGAAAGAATTGAATTTGTATATGAATTTTTAGTCAGTAAAGAATTTGGCAAAGGAAGGAAAAGAAGGTTTTTTTTAAAAAAATGGTAAGAAATATAAGATAAGATGCCAGAGTATATTTCAGGGTCTTGGCAGGAAACAGATGGTGTGCTCTAATTAGGCAGTTTGGGGAGAATTTAGTAAAGGAACTTTATTCGAGGAGTAGTATATTGGATATACTATATGAACAGGGTATAGGAAGCCACAAGGAATAATAATGTACTCTGGGTCTATAGAAAGCATGGGAGGGGAGGAAGTAGATACCAGAACCTGGATAAAGAAAGTTATATCGAAAGGGCAGTCAGAATGGGATGCAGCTAGTCAAGGCAGTTTTGTAGGACGGCATCTGGGAAATAAGTATCTTTACCTTCCTCTTGTTTCTCCCTCCAAATCCTCTGTTTCCTCACTGAATCACCTCAGACATAGTAAGGGAACCTGTTGATTCAAGTTAGTCTCCCAGTGAACAGAGTATGATCAAAATGGAGAGAGGATCTGGGAGTGGCAAGATATCTAGCACATAAAGATTTTAGTTAGTAGCCAAATATGTTGTAATACACTGTTTGAGAGCTTCTAAGTAGCTAGTAGGGAGAACAAAACATCCAGTAACAATTAACAGTCTCTATTATTAAAAACAAAATGGTTCCTGATGAGAAATGTAGCTGTTCTTGATACTAAAAGAAATGAGACTGAAGAGTGATTTTTGCCTGTCAGTCCTCAAGAGAAGAAACAAATACAGAAAACATCATTTTCCCTGTGATAAATATAAAACAAGTTACGTAGGACTATACTTACTTACCTTCAGTGTAGACTGGCATAATGCCTTATTGCAATTTATATAAAGCTTTTCTTCCAGGGATTTTTCTCTGATACTCTGGCTTAATCTAGGTGGTGGTAGAATGGACAGGCTCTATACTTTGAGACAGTTCTCTGTGAAGATTGTTTCTAGTAGCTAAGCTTTTTTATTTTTATTTTTTTCATGCAACACTGTTTTGAAGACATTTAGCTAAGCTTTTGATAAACGTTTCAGTTTAGAAAATTTAAGGTTCTGTTCTCTGTCAAGTAACTAGAGAGCAGATACAATCTATATTGCTAATTAAGAGCAGGTTTATATAGTTAGCTGAGCAGTGTTTAGTGCCATCTCGTGAAAAATCATTGCTTTAATAGACAATTGTGACTCCACCTCTGTAGCAAAGTAGGCCAAGGGACCACTGCAGCGTAGAGCTTGTGTTTTCTTAGAATACATTTCACAATATTCTCTCATAAGTACAAATAGAGGATTTAAACTATGGCTTGAATAGAGCATGGCTGTGGAAATTCTTAAAGCAGTATTTGCATGTACCTATATGAGTAGTTAAAAAAATTTGCAAAATAGGCCAGACTTGGTAACTCACGCCTGTAATCCTAGTACTTTGGGAGGTGAGGAGGGAGGATTGCTTGAGGCCAGGAGTTGGAGACCAGCCTGAGCAACATAGTGAGACCTCATCCCTACCAAAAAGCTTTTAAAAATTAGCCAGGGGTGGTAGTGTGTACCTGTAATCCCAGCTATTCAGAAGGCTTGAGCCCAGGAATTTAAGGTTGTAGTGATCTATGATGACACCACTCCGCTCTAACCTGGGCAACAGAGTGAGACCCTGTCTCAAAAAAAAAAAAGAGTAAAATAATCTGTGGATGATTTCATTAATTCTACATACATTTATTGTACCTTCTGTAGGGTTGGGCACACTTTACCTGTTATTGAATATACAGGGATAGATAAAACAGACATCCCTTTTTCCATATATCTAACCATTAGCAGTATGATTTTCAGTTGAGCCATCCAATATAAACTGGTAGCACTATTTTCATTCAGATCATTTGGGATAGGACTATGAATGTTGGAGGGTATTTAGCAAAATTATTGCATTGGTATGAAGTAGTTTCTCATAATAATTAGAGATAG